GGGGGGGGCTAGAGGAAGTGACACAAAACATGCTGAAGTTTTTATGTTGCTTCTTGTGTAATGAGTAATAATCCTTTGTCTCTGACCCAGGAATCTTATCTTCTACAGTATCCATGAAACAGTAACCGACTAACTTGTTACCCAATCAGTTGGGTAAAGTCAAATGTCAACTTGAATAGTAATAGTTTAAGCTATTTTCATTATTTTTGCTCTTGCTCTTCTTACTTGCCTTCATCAGGCACCCTACAATATCCAAAAATTTGTGTTTTGGTAGGTAGCCAAAAATCATCATTGGCTGCCACTTGCAAGGAATTCTACAGTGCTGTTGGGGGAATCAAAATGAATTTGAAATAAAGATAACTTCAAAATTATTGCTCAAAGGAAATGACTCCTTAGCTACTCTAACTTATTTTTTTTTTGAGTCAGAGTCTCACTCTGTCGCCCAGACTGGAGTGCAGTGGCCGCTCCCGGCCACGCAGCCTCAACCTACTGGACTCCAGAGATCCTTCCCCCTCAGTCTTCCAGGTAGCCGGAACTACAGGCACACCCTACCACACCTGGCTAGTTTTTAAAAAATTTATTGTAGAGATGAGGTGTCACCAAGTTGCCCAGGTGGGTCTCGAACCCGCAGGCTCAGGCAATCCACTCGCCTCATTCTCCCAAAGTGCTGGGATTATAGGCTGAGCCACCTAGCCCGGCCATAAACTTTCATTTTATCTTATTTTTTTGAGTTGGAGTCTCCTCTGTTGCTCAGACTGGAGTGCAGCGGCATGCTCATGGCCACTGCAGCCTCAACTTGCTGGGCTCAGGTGATCCTTCCACCTCAGCCTTTTTTTTTTTTGAGTTGGAGTCTCACTCTGTCGCCCAGAATGGAGTGCAGTGGCCGCTCCCGGCCACTGCAGCCTCGACCTGCTGGGCTCCGGCGATCTTTCTGCCTCAGCCTTCTGAGTAGCCGGAATTACAGGCGCATGCTACCATGCCCGGCTGATTTTTTGATTTATTGTAGAGATGAGGTCTTGCTGCCTAGGCGGGTCTCAAACCCGCGGGCTCAGGCAATTCACTCACCTCAGCCTCCCAAAGGCGCGGGATTACAGGCTGAGCCACCGAGCCCGGCTCCACCTCAGTCTTATAAGTAACTGGAACTACAGACACGTGCCACTACGCCTAGATAATTTTTATTTTTTCATTTTTTTTATAGTAGAAATGAGGTCTCGCCAAGTTGCCTAGGTTGGTCTCGAACCCACGGGCTCAGGCAATCCTCTCACCTCAGCCTGCCAAAGTGCTGGGATTATAGGTGTGAGCCACCGCACCTGGATTATAAACTTTTAAATTATATTTACTTTTTTTTTTCTTTGAGTTGGAGTCTCACTCTGTCGCCAGGCTGGAGTGCAGTGGTATGCTCCTGGCCACCGTAGCCTCGACCTGCTGGGCTCCGACGATCCTTCCACCTCAGCCTTCCAAGTAGCCAGAACTACAGGCGTGCACTACCACACCTGGCTAATTTTTTATTTATTGTAGAGACGAGGTCTCACCAAGTTACCTGGGTGGGTCTCGAACCCACGGGCTCAGGCAATCCACTCGCCTTGGCCTCCCAAAGTGCTGGGATTACAGGCTGAGTCACACAAGCCTGAACAGTTTTACCTTCTTTCTTTTTTTTTGAGACAAGATCTTGCTCTATGGCCCAGGCTGGAGCACAGTACCATGATGATCGCTCACAGCAGCCTCAGACTCCTGGACTTAAGCAGTTCTCCCACCTCAGTCTCCCAAGGTACTGGGATTACAGGCGTGAGCCACTGCAACTAAACTTTTTTACTCTTTTATCATAACTTAGCTTAAAACACAAACACATGGTACAGCTGTACAAAATATTTCCTTCTTCATATCTTTATTCTATGAGCTTTTTTTCTATTTACAACTTTTTATTTTACTTTTTAAAAATTTTTGTTAAAAACTAAGACATAAATGCACACATTAGCCTAGACCTCACAGAGTCAGGACCATCAATATCACTGTCTACCACCTTCACGTCTAATCCCACTGGAAAGTATTCCAGGGAATAACATGCACAGAGCTACTATCTCCTGTGCTAACAATGCCTTCTTTTCCAATACCTTCTGAAGAACCTGCCTGAGGTTGTTTTATGGTTTATTTTATTTTTTGTAAGTAGAAGTACACTCTAACAATAAAAAGTATACTCAATGCATAAACCAGTAACATAGTTCTAATCATTATCAAGTGCTATACACTGTACATAATTGTATGTGTTATACTTTCATATTGCTGGCAGTACAATAGGTTTGCTTATACAAACAGGAGAATAATGCATTACGTTAGGACGTTATGATGGCTGCCACGTCACTAGGTCATGGAAAATTTTCAGCTCCATTATAGTATTATGAGACCAGCGTAGTATCTGAGGTCTGTTGTAGACCAAAATGTCGTTATGTGGCACATGACTGTAGCTGAAATACAGGACAGGAAAGTTGCACAAGAGTGACCGGACCTTAGTTCCTGATACTTAATAGCTGCACGACTTTGGACATTCTAAGATTCAGTTTCCTAATACGTTAAATAGGGAAATGAATTCGTGTCCAGTCGTCTCACAGGTTGTTGGGGCCCGGTGAACACACGTTACTGAGCACAGTTGATATAATTTAAGACCGTTGAATCAGAAACGCCAGTTTATTCTAACATTGTTTTGTAGAGGTTATGAAACGGAAGGAAAACAAACAAAAATGCCCCGCATCCACAGCTGAATCATTTTGCACGGTGTGCCGGGTTAGACGCTCCCCGCCCAGCAGAAGAGCAAAACTCCCAACAGAGCGTAAAAAATAAACTACAACTCCCAGCAGGCTTTGCGCCCGAGCCGCGTCACAGCACCTCCGCGCAGGCGCGTGCCCAGACCGCTCCCCGCCCCCACCGAGCAGAGACTACATCTCCCAGGAGGCTCCACGGCGCCCAATCGTCCGCTTTCCCCCCGCCCCCGGCCTCCCCTTTACCCCCCGCCCGCAGCTCCGTGGCCGACTCGGTCCCGCGGCCGGCGGAGCGGGCGCGCGCGTCGGGGGTCGTGCGGCCGCTGAGAAGGGCGAGCGCGCGCCGAGAGGGAGTGGAGGCGTAGGGGGGCGGGGGCACGGCTCGCTTGCTCGCAAGATGGCGGACGAGGACGGGGAAGGGATTCACCCCTCAGCCCCTCACAGGAACGGAGGTGGCGGCGGCGGTGGGGGGTCTGGGCTCCACTGCGCCGGGAACGGCGGAGGGGGCGGCGGCGGCCCGCGGGTCGTGCGCATCGTCAAGTCCGAGTCCGGCTACGGCTTCAACGTGCGGGGCCAAGTGAGCGAGGGCGGGCAACTGCGGAGCATCAACGGGGAGCTGTACGCGCCGCTGCAGCATGTGAGCGCCGTGCTGCCCGGGGGGGCGGCCGATCGGGCCGGGGTGCGCAAGGGGGACCGCATCCTGGAGGTGTGAGTATCGGGGCTGTCCGCTGCCCCACCCTCTCCGCGCCCCTCCTCCTGTCCCCGCATCTCCCCTCCACCCCTGTCACCCTCAGGCCGCTCCTCCCCCAGCCCGAACCGGCCATCGGGACCCCCGCCCCCTTCAGGCCTCCGCAGCCCGGCGTCTCCTTGTG